CCGCAACTTAGCTGATAACTGCTTGAAGGCGAAGGGTTGGATCAACCGATTACTGTACCCACGCAAACTCACCTACACTTACGCGGTTTCCGCTCTCTAACCGTGAGGTGCGTACGCACTGACACCACCCTCTTTGTTTACCTTTTGCGTCAATACTCACGTGCTCAGAACATGGAGAGTGGTAATGGATCTCAATCGACCTTTACCGCTACGAGCACCACCGCCATCTTGGCATTCAAGTTACGCATAGCAGTACCACCCTACCCCTTTCCTAATTCTCTTTGGTCGCTGATGCGGCCGGCTGGCTTGCAATTTGGGCTCTGGGATTTCTCCGTGATGACCATTCTGTTCGTGCCTGACTCCTGCATTCTGCTCATAAACAAACCTATGATGGACATTCATTTCTTAGGGAGCACTAGTACCAACGAAGACGAATTATTCTCACAGCGAAAACCTCGGGAGCAGCCAAATTCCCAGATAAGCAGTTACGAGACAGGATAAAACACAATCAATTACGATCAACCCTTCCCACTTCCCCAATAGAAACTATGAGAACCTTTTATATTTGGACATACCGATAACGGGCGCACAAGGACAAATATACAGAATTTCAATTCAGAGCAAATGCTCCCACCCAGTGGTCAAAGACAAATGGTAAAACATGCAGAGAACGAACTACACATCGATTTCATGTTTTTTCTTCTTTTTCTTTCCCTCAACAACAATGGAGGCATCAGCTTCAAAGCTCTCTTCTCTACCCCCATTCTCCGCCTCATTTTTCTTTTTTTTCTTTCGCGGTGGCTCCACGACGCCATCCATCCTAACATCCTCGACAGTTTCCACCTGCTTTTGTTTCTTCTTTTTCTTCTCCCCAACCTCTTCCCTCGTCTGTTCAATTCCTACTTCTTTGTATTGAGCAGTTTCCTCCAATTGGGCAAGCCCGGACTTTCTCTTCTTTTTCTTCGTCTTCTTTTCTACTGGCTGTGCCTCGTTCCCATTATCCTTTGTGTAACAATTGATATTCGGTGAGGCTGTCCCATTTAACGTGGCAACGGCTCGTTTCTTCAGCTTTCCAATAACCCGATTGGCCTTGAAACGTTCACAATAAATGGTATATTCGGGGTGAAGTATAATCAGTGTACCAGATAAAACTCACCTCCTTTACGGCCGCCGCCATTGCCTCTGCATTCGTTATTGGCATAACACCACTCTCAAAGTACTTCAGCCGGTCCTCAACCTGTTTCTTCAAGTGCTGTCCATAAACATCGCAGAGAATATCACTGAAGCAGTCAATACGTGTTGCGAGGGCACATTTTGCTGCTAAAAAACGCGAAATCCTGCCCTTGTTCTCCTTCGCCGCGCGACCGATGTAGGAACTGTGGAAAATTAGTCCGTATTTGGGCGTACGACCACGGGTTCGCAGCGCTCTGAAAAGAGCCTTCTCTGCACCCAGAATTTGAATGGTGGAAGCTGGGAACTTTGAAAGATTTATCAGAGAACCAGCGTGGGAGATCAGACGAGCAGCAACTTGACTGCCGATGAGAGTGTTGAGGTTCGGAGCAACACCAGTCAACTTGTTGACAAGGTAATCGTAGGCTTTTGCGCGACGCTCCATGAAAGTTTGCACGATTTTCGCAAAGGAAGACAGATTTTCCACATCCTGATCAGTTACATCGAAACCTGGGAGAGAAACCTTCAACTAAAGAAAAGAAGGACCTACCCATTGAAGTTTTAGCGACTTCAAGAATCGCAACTGCTTTTTCGTGGTCATGGATGACTTTCTCAATCTGACCCAGCTTATCTTCAGTTAAGTCTTCACGGCTACGGATTATGTTGACTAATTTGATGTAGTTGGTGCTTTCTGGAACAATTTTGGCCAATTCTGGAAAGTGATATGAAAACCACTCCTTGATTCGCATAGAAAAGGTGTTAATATCCTTATCCATTTGGTCGAGTAAACTGATTGTCTGAATGACCATATTATCATCTCTTAAAAGGTAAAAAATTACTATCTCAGCAGGCATCAAACCTGTTTACATTGAATTTAACTTTGGCACGGGAGTAGCTATGCCCTAGCCCGACTTGAGCCTGGGATTCTGCGAAATGCGTCAATTCAGCGATGTAGTTCGAGAAGAACTCACGGATTCCGCGATAAATATCAATGGCAGCCGATTCAGAGGAGATTTTGACGGTTCCAGGTAATCCAGTCTCAGTCGCTTTAATAGCATCGGCCAGCTTGTGCTCCGAAACACATAAAAGTACGGGTTTTTCTCCCTTGAGATTTGACAGGAGAAAATTTCGAAGATCATCATGAACAATGCCCTCTGAAACTGAGTTACAATTTTCCAAGGCGTTTTCGGCTGACGTGAATGGTGAAAATGCACGCAGTTTAAAGGTGCCTGAAAATGTATCATAGTCAGTAGAAACTCCCGACAAGCGCTCAACAACCGCAGATAGCTCATGCAACTTTGTGCCCAAAATGGCATAACCAGATGCGTGTTCAAAAAGGAACAAAACCCTACTCTAAATGTGATATCTCTATTAAAGCAACGGAACATGTGCCCACCTTCATACTTCCCCCTTTAGATTTGACAGATTCAAACAAAGTCTGACGGCTAATGCTTATACCATTTATTTCTTAGTCGAATATAAATCCTTGGAAATGGTTAGTTGTAATATCTCTAAGTGCTCAGAAGGCTCAGTTATTTTGGTCATTATTTTTAATTTTACAACGCTTGCGTAATTGTTATGCTGTTTTAACTTTCCTTTCAGAGAGGAGGAGGATATACAAATCAAACCTCGTGGCTGAGGCGTTATTGTTTTGCAATCCGGAGAGCGGTTCCGTGTCCACACCTTCAAACTCTGTACTTGCTTTTCCCACTTACCCCAATAAACATGACGAAGTCAATTCAACTTGGGTGTTCTAAGAGTATGAGAACGACGGAAGAGATCTACAAGCCTCATCCTACACTTGAGTAATGCACTAATCATCAGTCCTTTCTCTAAACAACTTTATTCAAATTCTACACCTGACTTTCCTTTGCAAAACTCCTGGTAGTTTTAATTTAAATCTAGTTTAGTAATTAAAGTACATCTAAATGTCTGGAGATTTCAAACTCACTCCTTTATTTAGTGGCATTGCTAATGTTGTAACTTAAAAATATGTTTGTTCTGTGTGTAAATTCTCTGTGTTTTATGACCAACCCCTTAATCAATGCAGAAATCTGTTGGTACACTTTTTATTTTGACCAATCTTTAGCTCTCTGGATCCTCCCTCTAGTCGTGCGGAAAAAGAAGTTCTCCTAATAGAATACGTTGGTTGTTTGTTTAATCATCGGTTTTTGCATAGGGTCACTTGATGTCTTGGCCATTGTACCTCGCCGGGTGGGCTGGTCTCCGAACTATGCTGCCAGCCCTTCTCCCTTCCCTGTACATTAAATATGCGCATGGATATGCACATGTTCTGCCCTATCGTTATGCACTCTGCGTTCAGGGAAGTCTTGAGGATCTATACTGCCGTACAGAATGGCTGGGAGGCCGCTAGCATGGCCCTACGGCTCGTTCGTAGTGCGGAACTGCAATGTGACTGATCCAATATGCAAATTAAAATTTAATGCAGACTCTCCGACCGAGGATCGGGATAGGCTGTCCACTTTTATTTAAAATAACACTGCTTTTGAGACTATTTGTTAAACTTTGGGAACAATTGATTTTGGTGCTCTAAGAAACCGAAGTAGTGGGTAAAAACGTATACTGATAGCGTACGGAACAGCTGGAAAGCTGTTAACATGGCCCGAGGCTCATTTTTTACTGATCGGAAGAAGAACCCGCTCAGGGTAAAGAGCTCAAATAGATGAGTCCATAACTAAACAAGGACTTCAAGCACAGTGGTCGTTTCCAACCCCCTATGAACCAGTTATTTGGTCAGAGAAAACATGGTTTGGTTTAAATTTATGACGCAAAATGAAGTTATAGCCTTTAATTTAGCCCAATGTTTTTCTTAGGCCAACAGGTAGAAATAATTTCAACTTGTAAATTTAATCTTTTTGGTTTACGCCGACAAATCACTCTCACTAGTGTTTCCTTCCTTGGCTTTTGGTTCGTCTCCTTGATTTCTTTGTTTCTCCAATTTTAGCTTCTGAAAGAATCCCTTTATTCCCTTCGTCTCCTTCTCTTGGTTAATATCACCCAGCTGTTGTGTTAAAACTTGCAAATTTTCGCTTATTCCTCTATCTATGGTCAGCTGATTACCGGGAGAAGTCAACAACGTCGACGTTGATTCATCTGGTGGTGGTTTCATCCGCACTTTGTCAATTTCCTTCATCTCTGCTCTCACAAACGGCATTAGCAGTCGTCTCCTTTGCCGTGCCTTTTGTTGGGCTCCGATAAAAAGACGAGTCCGATCTTCAATTACCTCCTCCACTGCACTTTCCAACTGATCCAACCTTGGCGTTCTTTGCACCCATCTTTGCACTGCCCATATCGTTAAAATCAAAGCTACGAGTAGTCCCAAACTGGCTACTGTCACGATTAATGCCACCAATCGCAGCCTTGCAACTCGTGGAGGTCGGGCTGCAAGTTCCCACAGACTAGGAGGCCTGGAAGTAACACGGAGGAAGAAAGAGTTAATCAAAAACCAACCAGAGAAGCTTATGTTCCTCGAAGCCTGAGTGGTAGGAGCGTCTGGCCTTGGTACAATCAAATGGCAGTCCCAATGACCCTGCATCTCATTCCTCAAATGAGGAATGAGTCTAATTCTCGCCTTGGGGCGGATAGCAAGATCGTTGAATATGGGTTCTCCATTGAGGTTCCACTGAATCCTTGCAGCATCGTACCATAGCACTTGACCCTTTTCGAAGGCACTCCACTCACCAATGTTTGAATGAAGGTAGAAGGGCATCTGCGCCGGTGCGGAAAACTGTTGACCTAGAACAATGAGGGAATAGAATGTTGCCAACCATTCTTCACTGCCTATTTTGATATGACAAGTGTATAACCCCGTATCATGGGGTTTCAATCCAGACAAGAGAAGCTTAGTTCCTTCTACTACTGGAGAGGTTCGTTTCAGACCTGATATCCACTGCGTCTCCTCATCTACCAATTCCTTAATCGGTAAAATAATACGTCTTTCTTTAGTAGTCACGTAATTGCTCCCAGTGGCTATAGTTCTGCCTCCAAGCTGCCAGAATATTGACACCTTCCGAGTAGGTAAATTAATTTGAGACAGACTTATTGTCTTCTCCTCTAGCGTCTCTTTCGCAAATCTATAGGCTTCTGTATTACAGTCTAGCAAAGCACTATCTCCCGCGGTTCGAACTAATACAACGTCGGCATGATCCTTGGGGAATTTCCTTTGTACACGAGTAACTAAATGATCTTTTTGCACCTGTTGTTTAACTCGTGCTTTTAAATTAAAATCGTCCATTTGGGTGTCATGACAGCCATAGAGACAGGATTTGACTTCCCGGCTCAACCCGGAGCACTGTAGGGCATTGGGACCGAGTTCAGGTGGAGGATTGTTGCAGAGTCTTGTACGAAACCTAGTCCCTGGTAGACAGCCCTGTGCATCCGGTTTAGGTTTCTTTTTCGACTCGCTGAGAAAACAGTCACTCCAGGGGCTCCACGAACTCCAGTCGGGTTGGCGTGGGCACTTGCTGTTTATAACACAGGTCATGCATTCCTCACCACTGCCAACACATTGCGAGACATTGCGAACACCGCCAAAACCATCTAGACACTGGCGGTTTCTACAGCGTCGCCCCTCTCCACAGGTCTGGGAGCAGGCTACTGGCCAGGCGGACCACGCACCCCAGTTGAAACCAGCTGGCGAAACTCGTGGCAGACAACATAAGGCGAGGAGACAGAAGACGGACAGGTAGAAGCGTGTGCGGAACA